TAGAACCTTGGATGCGCAATGTTAGGTCTCATGCCCGCTGCCAAGCGTGGGACAGTGACCGAGGAGGTTGTCGCGGCCATCAGAGAGGCCAAGGGTATGCTCGACTGGAAGGGCGACAAGTTGGGGTATGTACGCGCTGCGGTTGGACGGGTGAGTTCCCCGCTCTTGTCCGATATCTGGACATTGGAACTGTCGAACAGATTCATTTCCCGGTCGAGGACGTAGAAAAGAACGTCCGGGCGTTTTTGCAAGCTGTACGCGATGCAATGAAACCCGAGGACGAGGCATTCGCGAATCGCCAAAAGGCCGGTAAGTGTCTTGCACCCCCCGCCTTTCATCTCCTGTTCGCCTCGTTTGAGGGTGCTTACATGTTTGGCCACTTTTTGCAGCCTCGACCATACTCCAAGTCTACCTCAGTTCGACGCGTGGTCCAGGTATTGAATTGTCGGATGTTGGTTATACGCCGTACAAGTAACGCCCCCTCTTTCGATGGGTGATATTTGAAAAAAGTGGCTGTCTTGTTGTGGTATGTGTCTTGCTCAATTCAAAGTTGGGATTGACATTTTGGTGATGTACAAGATCTGGGGTGGCTACGGTATAAAGCAAGTTGCAACAAGGTGTAGGTCTATGAATCGACTGGTGGGTGAGATCGGGGGTTGTGTAAAGATAAATATATGCGGTAGTTCAATGTCAAGATGCCGACTATTACGACTGGGACAATCGCTCCGCCTCTTGCTCGGTTGTCGCCTGAATCTCAAACGCCGGTTTGTCCGCCCCGGTATTGATCCAATCTTCAGAATCGACTTCGCCGTGGCTCCTCGCTTCCTGTAAACTCTTCCCTTTCGACTTTTCCTTGCCCTTGGCCTGCTTCATTCCATCCCGCTCTCCCGCTCCACCATTCGGCACAAAAGGACCAAGTTTGCGAATCCCCCTCGTTCGGACCTGTGGTGTAATACGCGGTGCGTGCGGAAACGCATCTCCCCAGTTGGCTTTTCGTGCATCGTAATAAGCCTGTTTGCCCTGTGATTTCGGAATCGTTATTCGTGCGATCGAACCTATACGCGGAAGAAAAAAGCGTGAATTCCGTGAAAGAGGGTGGTTATTTAGGGGGAGGATAGGAGACGGGGATCATGCCCGAAGCGAGAAATGGTAAATGGGCGTCAGTTCGAGTCAACCTTTCGTTGGAAGGGGAATAGAGTTGATTGAGCGCTCGATCGAACGTACCTTGGTGTGTGCAGGTGTCTAGAATAACATGTCCGCTGCGCTTCATTGGAGGGTACACGATCCGGGGCCACGTTCCGATTGCGCTCTGCATTGCGGACTCTTCGGAGATGTGTTCTTTCTCGGGCGGTGGAGTTGACTCGCTTGAAGATTGACTCGCGTCGGGAAGGTCTCGATCCGGGCTGTCCCAAACACCATCTTCTCCCACCTCTAGGACCGTCCGGCCCCTCAGCTTCCCTCGCCCTTTTTGCTTGATTTTACCACGCTCGAGGTCGAGTTGGATCTTTTCAGCCTCTTCACGCCCGACTTCGCCGATGAGACCATGTGCAATGGGACTCCCATATCGTTGACTTGCGTGAGTATTTGGAGCCTAGTTCATATAAAAAGTGCCTCAGCGATTGAGCTGGCAGTGCAGGAGTACAGTGTTGAATGCCCCTCAAATCACCCACCTGGCCCCGCCGTACCACCACATAGGAGTATGCCACATCTTCATGCCCCTCATGCGAGTGCTTGGTATGGCGAAGGAAAGGTGGTGTCTGTATGCGCTGAGTGAAATGGCAAACGTCGCGTGTATGAGGCGAGCTGTGCAAAGGGCATGCATGCGAGTGGGGACACTGGTTTAATGCGCGGCGTATCAAGTTTTGTGTTAGGAGCGCAAAAGACAGGCAGGAGTGAACAGGGCGTACAGGTGCGACGACGTGACTACCTGGTTCTCGAGCGCCTTGATCGACGGGCGGACCTTTGGCGCGCGCTTCGAACTCGCGACGGCCGAGTTCGAGGAGTAGATCCCTTGCACGGGCGACGTTGTCGAATCCAGCAGGCGTGCCGTGGTCGATGGTTACCTTCGGTGGCCATATTTAACTTTGAAGTTGTTTTCAGCTCCGACTGGCTCACCATCCATTCGGCCCCCGACTCCCACATTTCAGTGACCATTCGTTTCCGGGACGTGCCAGTTGGAAGTTCGGATAGTGTAAATGCGCAAAGGGCAAGCGAACGTTCGGGGGTAGCCAGTTGAGTATTCTGTAGGACTGAGTTACAAAGAGTCAATATAATGCACGCATAGACTCCATACCTTTCCCCAGAAATCCTGATACAGAATCTCGCATCCTCCCAGGTCGGTGCCCCTCACGAACCGCCTCGCAAGCTCGGTCATCCCCCGCCTCGAGTCAAGGAGCATGTACTTTTTGATAGTAGATGCCGTCCAGGCCTCTTTGCCTGCTATAGTGTGCTCCAAGGTTTCTGATTCCAGGCTCTCGAGTACGGAGCTTGGAGTTGGAGGCGCATAAGAGGGTGGAGTGGAAGATGGCCCAACGCGTGGGTGATGCGGTGATGCGGATATCGGTGTCCATGATTCGGGATTTGCGTTTTCGCCAGACGAGGTGGGTGAGGATGCAGGGGTGGGTTCAGGAGGTGGAATAGGTTCACGGAACGCTACAAGCGATGCCCTACAAAGGGTTATAAACTTGAATGAGGTGATGAAATACCTAGTGGACGTACCATAGACCTTGCCCCGACTTGCCTCCAAAATCGACGACCGTTTCGATCCTATCTTCCCCCTGTCCTGGTCCATCCATACGTTGTGCAATTTCACGGAACACGTTTGCTGTAGCGGCATAGTGCGCAGGCATTGCAACAGTAGCAAAGGCTAGACCTTCACGAGAGCCA